GAGACGAAGAATGGAGTCGGCATGAGTGTAAATGTTGTAACACGGAAAGGAGTTTGAACGTGCCAATTAACCAATGATTCACTTGTCGGACACTTCGAACCATTGGTCCGTGGTTTCGCCGACACTCACCAATCACCATCACCTCTCATTTATCTTCTGTATTTTCTTAAAAGAAATATATTATATCTTCTCCTTTTTGCTAATAGAAGAAAGCTAAAAATGATGTCGAAAAGCTTAAAATGATGTATATTATAGAATAGCAATTATTACTATGATGCTGTACCACGAGAGAACGCAACTACGCACACGAGGACACCACCATTCCCCTCTCAATCCTAATCATTTTTAATTCAATTTTTAAACTCAACTCTTCTCCTTATGCTATTCACTGAGATCTACTGTTCTATCCGCTTTTGTTCTCTTAATTAGTATTTTTTTTTTTTTTGAAACTTTACTCTTAATTAGTATTGCTCTTGTTGGAATTCATGTTTGCAAGAAACCCTAATTGTTGTTCAAACAAAAACTCAAATACAAAATCTGAAAATTTTGAATTTAAAAGGGAAAAGGTAGACACTAGGCAATGGCATCCTTAATTGAAAAAGCGTAAGAAAAAAAAAATATTTTTTTGCCACTCTTTGTGATCCATACAAAGTTTTCTCGACAGGTAAGAAGTCTAATGAAATGGATCAGTATTTAACAAAATAACGACATTGCTTTCTTCTTTTGGGTCCATTTCTTTGTTACTACTTGACTTCAAATGCATGCACACGATCAATAGTAGATACAAACACCTCTCAATTATTCGCTTTAATTATCAAAGGGGTATGGATCGTATGTGCTGTCCACGGTCCACCCCAAGAAACATGTTGGCTGTTTCAGAGTTGAGGAAGGAATCAGGGGAGTGTAAAGCCCGATTGATATGATGGTTACATCAATACATAGTGAACCTTTTTTGAAACATGTATGATGTACAAATGTATAGATGACTTGGGGTAAAATCCATTTGAAGACAGTGTGACAAAGAGACAAGGAGAGGAAGATCTATAGACTATAGGTTAGGTACAGAGAGCACATGAGATGATGGAGTGGGCCGAGAGGATAATAGAGAGGCAATAGACATAAAAAGAAGAAGAAATACAAGTAAGAAGCAGCCATTTGCTCATAAGTACATATGCTAGTCACTCACAAACTTCAACACCTATCATTATGTATGGCTATGATCTGTTGCATTGCAAAATCAAATGATGTGGAATAACAAAACCTTAAACAGAAAAAGCCAAAGAACTCAACTGGTAAATTATTTATAAAAAGTTCAAGAAGCACATGGGAGGAGACCATCTAAAATGTTCTGATCCCCAGTGTAAAGAGATGTACCTATGCCTAGAACTTCTAAGTATTAAAAATGAAAAACTTAAAAAAAGATCAACGTATATACGAAACTTGTGGAATGATAAACTTTTTATTATTAGGTAAATTTCATCTATGTGACAACTATATCGATAAATATTGGGACAATTGT